ATGGGTGCACTCACTTACATGCAGGCAATACACGCATACACATAAAATAAAAATAATAAATAAAATATTTTAAAGATTCTTAATGAACTGGATAAGGAACTGTGGGCCACAGAATACTTGTGTGTGTGTGTGTATATATATATATATATAGTGTGTATGTGTGTGTGTGTATACATAAGTGGAATTAAAGACTGCCTAACTCTTTGATTTAGCTAAAATTAAATGTTATTGTGCCGAATATAACTGAGCAAAGCCAAGATAAAAACTGTGATGGGGGGCTGGAGAGATGGCTCAGTGGTTAAGAGTACTGGCTGCTTTTTGAGAGGACCTGGGTTGAGTTTCCAGCACCCACATGGTGGCTAACAACCATCCATAACTCCAGTTCTAGGGTATCCAACACCTTCTTCTGACCTCCATGGGCAGTGCATGACATGGGTACACTTACACACAGGGCAATACACTCATACACACAAAAAATGTGACCTGTTTCTTATTTTTTTCTAGGTTAATTTTATGAAGCAGCATTTGAACCACACCTTTTGCTGGATGTACTATTTGCTAACTATGTGGGATTTGGGACACAGCACTTTATGTGAAGGATATCTTCTATAGCAATCCAAGATTTTTATTCTTCCCTCTACCTGCTTATCCTGTCAGTTCCTGTGATTCAATGCAACTTATATTCAGGGTATTCGTTGTAAAACTAACATAATTGAGTTTCCATAGAAAGAAAAATAGCTTCCAGTGGATCATAGGTTTAGAATGGTGGCCTATGCTTAGTGATAGAGTTTCACAACATGCACAATCTTCTTTCTTTAGATAGTGAAAGAATTAGTACTTTCATTTTGCTAAGGGATAAAAGTATCATGGATCTCCTGAAACATGGTGTCCAGAGGATGGGACTAACTACTGTCTCTGCTGCCTATTCAGCTTTTATTGTGCATGGTTTTGTAGTGTGACCCAAAGAAAGTATTAAACACCAGTACAAGCTGTGCAGTTATAGAATCTTATTCTAGATGGCGAATAAATTCCTCCTGAATTTTTCTAAAAATCACAATCAGATATTTTGTGTTTACTATAATTATTTAAAAGTAATCTAAACATCATTATTTTAACATCAGAGTAAACTTCATTAGTTCTTTTTTTTTTTTTCTGTTTTAAAACTGTGAGAGCCAGGTGTGGTGTCACAACTGTAATTCCAGGATTTAGGAGGCTGAGGCAGAAGATGGTGAGTTTGAAGTCAGGTTGGGCTATGCAGTCAGTTCAAGGCCAGCCTGAACTACATAGTAAGACTCTTTCTCACAACAAAAAAGCAAACAGGCAAGTGAAATTATTTCAATATACCCATGTTGATGGAGAACAGACTGAAAGTCAATGCTGCTGTCAATGTTCATACCACAGATTTTTTTTTTTTTACATACCAGGTCTTTGTGGTTGGGTGCCAGTTTTGTTGTGTAGCCATAGGGAAATAATAGCATCTGGGAGTAGGAATGGAAGGTAATGTAAGCCCTGATTGAGTCCAGATGGCTCCGAATGAAGGCAGTGACGGCTTTGGTCTCTTTCTCAGACTCTGGTGCAGGGCCCCTGTAGGTTTGCCAGCACGGGTTGTCAGTGCTGGGGTTAGCTAGGGAAGAAATGGGTGGACACGATCACAAACTGCTCCATCAGCACCACCTCTGCCTCTTGTGATGCGGCTTCTTAAAATGCTTAAAACATTTTGGCCTCTCATGTTTACAGGGCATCCCCGCTGTCTCTTGTGACAGTCACTAAGGACTTCGTACATTCATTTCCAGCATACTTAGTCTCTTGGACTATGCTTAGTCTTGTTTGTTTGTCCTCTTTTCCTAAGTCATAGGAAAAACACATCAGAAGCATTCCAAGGCTTGGAGTTAGAAGACGTCAGTTCCAATTCAGGTCCAGCCCCAGCTCTCCTGGAGATTGGTACACATTGCCTTTCTCTGAGCCCAAGCTCTTCCAATTAGGACAGCTGCTGATATTAAGATATTCATTATGCTACCATAATAGAAAATCTATTCTACAATAAAGTTTAACGGTACAGGGATTTTTTTTTTTAAACCAAATTAGGCAAAGAAAAAATACATGAGTTGGGGAAAGGTATGATCTCCCTGAAAGTCTGTAGTGATAAAGTCATGGTTGTGTAGAAACTATGGAATCATTTGATGTATTAGGTGTAAGCTGAGTACTGGTTTTCTATTAAACTCTCATTTTTCCCTCTGTCCCAGATATTTCTTTTTATTAACCATCTGAAGAATTAATTGCATATTCATTGTATCTACTGATATTTCCCAACTTTTATCAGATTAAGAGGAAGGACCCAAGATCTATCTCTCCAGATTATCTGATTTTTGTACATCTGGTATGTGCCCTTTTTTTTTTTTTTTGGCAAGCTAAATAAGTTCAATAAGAGATGGCTTGATACGTAACGTCTTTTCACCCACTTCCTCCCACAGAAAACACTCATGATCATTCTATGTATAGTCTTTATGATTATCTTCCATTTAACATATGAGAAAATTAGCACTTACTCAGGGAATATCTATTTTACTGAAATAAATAGGTTGTTTAAGTTCAGTATCCAAATGCTTAAGTCATTTCTTTGAGATCAAATCTACAACTCACAGTTCCACGAGACATCAAAGTTCCTGTTGAGGTCAGTGCCAATGCAGGTGGAATTCTGGTTCTTGGAACGGTTTTTTCTCCACATGCGGTCCTGCCAGAAGGAATGACAGAGTGTTTACACATGGTCGGTTTGTATGTTTCAATCATTTCAGATTCCCTCTGCAGGTATCTACAACTTTATTTGAAATTGAGTTAACTTGAGCTCCTTTATTATAAAGAATATGTTGCTTTGTTATAAGTTCCAATATTTTTTAGAAACAGAATTTTAACATTAGTGTTTTTAGGCATTGATGAAAAATTTCAGTTAGTTAAAAAAAATGCTGATTTGTTCTCTGTGTTAGAGAATGACCATTTCCTGACCCAGAAAGCAGCAAAATAGTCATATGATTTTAAGGACGCCCATGAAATCAGGAAACATTTGGAGATAACATGAAATTGAAAATTGAAAAAATACACTTTTCTGAATTGTAACTAAACCTAAACCTGACATGTAATGAACAACAATCAATGTGCAATAAATCCAGTAAATAATATATCACTTAAAGGCAAACAAGAGCATACAGAGAGCTACCTGAGTCCATGACCAAATATATCCATCGACATTGAGTACAGGTAGAACGTAAAAATTCATTCGGTCCAAGAGTTTGGTCATGATTTTGTTTCTTCCATAACTTTTGGTTGCCTGGAGGGTACAGAAAAACAATCAGCTCTTTGTGTCAATTATCATATGGAAAGCTCTAATTCTAGTAGCAATAATGACCATTCCTAGAGTTATTTTCACAAGGCTAAATAGTTTTAAACACATTTTTCCAAAAGTACACACAAAAAGTGACTCATATGGATGATGGGAAAAGACTCCACTTATTCAGACCAGTGACATTAAGAATATTTTTTAAAGGATCGCTTAATTATAGATACTTGAAGCATGTCAAATGAGGAATGTAAAAGTTACACAAGAAATATAGAAGCTGAGTGGAAATTAATAGCACTGTTAATGGATTCTTTCACTCAAATCCCTTAAATAAATGCAGATTGAGTCTATAAGCACAGGGATATAGAAATATTGCAGAGGATTCATAAATATTTAAAAATAGGACTGAAGGAAGAAAACCTCTCTCTTTAGTGTTATGGATTTAACCATGGCCCTGTACACTTTAAATACATACTCTACCACTGAGGCATCTTTCCAGCCAAATAAATTTATGTGTGTATGTGTGTAGGCGCGCAAGCAGGTAAGGCCCAGATGTTGATGTTAGCTTTGGCTGTCTTCCTCACTTGCTCTCTGACTTATTTTTTTGAGGCAGGGTCTCTCAGTGAATCTGGAGATCAACAACTTGGCTAGATTGGCTGGCCCTCAAGCCCCGAGGATCCCATCGTCTGGGCCTCTTCAGTGTTGGGATTGCAGACAAGTGCTTTGCCCGGCTTTTTTGATGTTGGTGCTGAGGACTGAACTCAGGTCCTAGCCTGCAAAGCTGCACTTTGCTGACTCAGCCATCTCCCTGGCCTCAGAGAAATTTTGTTAGTAAAAATCCCTGGCAGTGCTGTGTGCTTGCCTAGCATTCAAAAGCCCCGAGTTCAGTCTATAGCACCACTGATAAAACAAAACTTTGAATGCCATGAATTTAGAGATTGCCAGTCAATGTTTCTCTATGTTATTTGGCATAACATTTCTCTAATTATCTGAGCTCTCTGCGGTTATCAAAACTCTCCAAAAGAATCTCATCAGTCTTGGAAAGCCTCTCTCTCAAACACACCTGTAGTAGAACCAAGATGTCTGTGTGTGTGTGTGTGTGTGTGTGTGTGTGTGTGTG